ACAAAGGGCAGGCTCAACTTGGAGAGGGGTGTATATAGCACAGCTGATGGGAGCTGTCTTGGTGTCCCTGTCTGGACTGCATAAACACACATCTGTGATTTTGGCAAAGAAATCCCAGATGTTCATCAGTAAGGACGTCCAGGTCTTATTTTTACCCTGTCCTGAACAGAAACATTCACTGTTTGTGAGCCTAATTGCTGCAGTCATATTGCTAGAAAGATGACTGATGCAGCTTTGGTGCATGGGGTGATAAATGTATGTTAGACAACTGCAAGATGCATCTTTTGGGGTTACAGAAAACTCCAGAGGAAAAGAAACTGAAGGGGGATAAATGGGCTGAGAGAAGAGGAGATATCAGAGCAAAGGCAAAGGCATTAGAAGTCATGCTATAAGCAAAGCAACCAGAAAAAGCTGTGAATTGGACTGTGGGGAAGAGCTGATCCTTATACTTGTTAGGAGATACAAAGTGTAGTAGTGGGCAGCCTCAAGTGCTAGTTGCTGACTGGAAGCATTACTGCAAGGACCCTGGGAGCCTTTTTACATGCTGACTGGAAGCATTATTGGTGCCTTCATTTGATTCCACATCTCTTGCCCGATGATCTCATTGGCATTCCCTGCAGTGAGCCCACTTAATCATGCTGACCAAAAAGGGAAAAAAATAGAAAGCCAACTCCAGGCATTCTGGTGCCTTTGTAGTGCTGGTGCAGCTCTGCATGTCCTGCTTCACATCGACCCTGCCCTCCTACCTGCTTCTCACTCAGGCAGGTTCGAAATGGAAAGGTCCTGTTGTGTCATCTGTCCCTTCTCCCAACTAATGCAGGGCTGTTCTTTGCACAATCATTTCTTCATAGCTTGTCTAGTTCATAGTGTCTTCTTCCCTGTGTTCTGCCAGCAGACAGGGAAGCTGAAGCTGCTGTTTTTCTTCTTACCATGTCTTCACTTTCGGAATGCTGAGTGCCTCCTCTCTTGCTGAGCCCCTTGATACTTGTAGGCAGTTCATCATCCTTTCCCCTCACTTTTGTACTGCTCAGCCAAGCTGTAAATATTTATGTCCTTTAGTCTCTTTTCAGCAATCATTTTCTGCAAGCTCATTTTTTGAACTGCTTTCAGTGTTTAATGAGGAGCCCAGAATGAAGGCTGCTCACCACATGTAGATACATCATGTTTGCTGGGCAGTGGAGGGAAGGGGAAAGAACAGGACCTGGTGGTGCCCCTGGTGTTGGGCATCTGCAAAGTACCAACATGCTGGACACTCACCCCCTTCCTGGCAATTGAAGTTTCTCACTCTTTAGGTGGGTGGGAGCAACTCAGCCTCAGGCCTGCTCCTCATTCCTCAGGTCATTCTTCTCTTGGTAGCATTTAATCACTGCTCTTCCCTAAATCACTCGCAGCAGCAGGACAGGCAGAGTATCATCTGAGACCTCACGTATCAAGCTGTGTGGCAGCCCCCTTTACCCAGGGGCTGAGGAAAGCTGTTTTCTTCCTCTTCCGTGTGAAAAGACTGCTTCTTCCCTTTTCCCCAAGCTAGCTGCAATGTTTTCTAACCTCACTTCTGGGCTTCTCAGGTCTTCAGATCTCATGGTGGGAACGGGTCCATTTTAGCTCTTTCCTACTTAGTAGGGCTGGACAACTTACCCCACCACAACCCCCTGGTGTCTGCTCCTCTTTCTATTGGTAAAGTCCCTGCTCTGCAGTCCACTGTTACCAGAGCTGTTTTGGCCACCCTTCTCCACTGTCAGTTCACATTTATTACATATTTCATGATCACCATGAGATCTTTTTTGGCACCATTGTTACTTAGGATGTTTGTTCCCTCTGAGTATCCATTTGGAGCCACCGTTCCCTGAGTTTCTGCACTGTACACGCAAGTGCACACACACACACTCTGTGAGAAGTATCTAACCTGGAATGTCTTTATTGCAGTCCTTTGACATCTGTGGTCGTCTGGGAAGTGTCAGGAAGGCACTGAAGGTCCTCTGCACCCCACAGGTCAGTAGTCATACACATTAGAGCAGTTTCATAGGTGGAACCTTGTTACTGTTCAATGACGGAGTTGAAAATTGCTCAGTGCATAAGGATCACAGAATAAAGTCTTTTGTTGTCCCATGGCTGGATAAGCTGTGTCTCTTGTCAGGGATGTTAAGGACCTTTTCTGCTATCTGCCCTGTCCCAGCTATGGTAAGAGATTGTTGCTAGTCTGGCCTGTTTGATTGGAAACGCTGTGTAATATGGATTAATCCACTGAGGCCAAAGCTGCAAGAAGCTGACAAAACTTTGCTGTGCAGAGTGTGAGAAAGGCGTTAAATAGAAGGTTGTAGCCCCTGATGTGCAGTGACATTAAAAGAGATGCTACAGTGCACAGAAATTATCTCAGGCATCACATTATATAGTGCTGATATTTAGACCTGTTGCAGTGAAATACTGTGGCATATTTTAAAGTGGTAAAATCAAAGACTGCAGAGGAAAGGAACACAGAACATCACTGGTGTTTGTTGGAGCTGCCTTGCTTATTCTGTGGACTTGGGCACGTCAGTTTTCCTCAGCATAGTTCCATTTCCCCTATTACTTTTCCAATAGGAGAAGCAACATTTACCTTCCACATATTTAAAAAGACAAGTGGGAAGCCTGTGGGTACTGCTGCTGTTATTCTTTCCTCTATTGTCTAACCTGCTAATAATAATACCTGCCACTATCTAAACACCTCTGCAAAGGATGCTGAATTAATCCTTTCAGCACCCTGTTGAGCTCATTACATCCCATTACCATTGCTCCAAGTGGAGGCACTAAAAGATGGAGTCAGCTCGAGGGGAAAACAAAACAGGGAACACAGAGCTCCAGACTCCCTCTGTTCTGTGTGCTGGTGCCCAAATCTGCCTTCCCCACGGACAGTGACATAACACAGGTGTCTTGCTTAGGTCATGCAGGGAATCTGGGTGTGAAAAACAGTGTCTATGTGTATGTGTAGTGAAAATCAGGTTATCTTCAAACCCGTTGACACTGGGATTTTTTCCACCTCTCCCTATCAGACCTATGGAGTTCGTGCCACCAGCCAGCAGTGCACTGAGGCAGGTGACATCTGTGCCATTTGCCAAGCAGAATTCAGGGAACCTTTGATCCTGATGTGCCAGGTAAGACCCCAACTTCCCATGTCAGGTTTTCCCATTGGCATTCATTTGATTACCTTCTGCAGCTGGGGAGAGGCACAGTCAGCCTGGCTACTCCTAAACTCATTTACTGGGACTTAATCTAGGTCCTTGTGGATATTTATTGCCCTCTTCTAGGTAGTGATTGGAGCTGACCCACTCTTTAGGGCTGATCACAGCTATTGAGATGGAAAAGACCAGCCTTGTAGTGCAGGGACTGCAGTTGGCAGTCCAGATCTTGGATCTAGAATGCAAGACATTTCTATCTGCTTTGTAACAGGCTTATCAAATTAAAGCAAGTAGGTCACACTGAATCAAAAGTGCCTCTGCAGATGTTATCAAGCTGTCAGCCCCAGAGAGTCTATCTTGGTATGTGTTTATCAGAGTTGAGATTCCAATGAGGAACATTTCTGCTGGCTCCACATGTGCTGAGGAGGTCTCAGCTTCTTACAGCTTCTCAATACTCTCTTCTTGCCCTGTTCCTGCTCTTACAGCCTGGGGCTAGATGATGGTGTGTGTGGGACAGCCATCCCTCCTGATCCCTGTTTGTACCCAAGGCAGGCTGGAGGGAGAGTCCTGTTGTGGCTCAGTGTTGAAATGAGAGAAGATAAGGAGTAAAAAATTACATTTATAAAGAAGGGGAAACTGGGACCGAGGGTGCTGAGGCGCTGGCACAGGGTGCTCAGAGAAGCTGTGGCTGCCCCATCCCTGGCAGTGTTCAAGGTCAGGTTGGACAGAGCCTTGGGTGACATGATGTAGTGTGAGGCTTCCCTGCCCATGGCAGGGGGGTGGAACTGGATGATCTTAAGGTCCTTTCCAGCCCAAACCGTTCTCTGTTTCTATGTGAGTACAAAAATGCAAATGCAATTAGGGAGAGGGAAGGGGTTGTTTAAACTAAGTACAGATGTGTAAAAAACCCAGGCAATTGAGGATGGAAACATGGTAGAGAAAAACTCTCTCAACCACTTTGTTAGCCCAGATGTTGTTTTAATGTTTGTCTTTTTAATGTTTCTTTCCACTGCTATAGCAAGAAACAGAGTAAATATATTATTAGCTTTGGCCAACTGAAATAGTAGTAATGCTGGGATTTGGATTTCATATTATGTGAGTGCTGCTAACCAGCCCCACTGTCCACTTGAACCTGACTCATTCCTTGCTCCCATGGCTGTCCTATTGGGTGTGACAAGACTGGACCTCCTGCCCTCATCCTGGTGATGCCCTTTTGTCTCCACAGCACGTGTTCTGTGAAGAATGCCTCTGCCTCTGGTTTGACCGGGAGAAGACCTGTCCTCTTTGCCGTTCTGTCACGGTAGAAACCCTGCGTTGCTGGAAGGATGGCACCACCTCTGCTCATTTCCAGGTGTATTAGACCAAATACATACCAACAAGTGGAATAACTTGTGGAGAGAAGACAAAGCTGGAAAATCTGGTGATCCCACGGCCCCTGTTTAGTAGCCTGTGGATTTTTCTTAGTCTTTCTTCCAGCTCTGTTTCTCCAGGAGCCAACAGAACAACAATTGTTACTATCCAGAACTATCCTTAGAGGCAAGGAAGAGGTGGTTTATGTTATGGCAAACTCCATGGCTAAGCTACAGCCAAGATTTTGTCTTGAACTTGCACGGTTGTAAACCGCCTGGGATGTTTCCTTTATTTCTCTCCTTTTAGTATAGCTAAATATTGCATGTATAAAGCAAGACTACTGTGAATTGCATGTGTACAACTGATATACTGGGAAAAAGCTGTCCTTCTCTGGCACAAACCACTGTGAGATTTTTCATGTTAAATGGCCCCTTGCTTTTCTGAATCTGTAACCTCATAGAAGCATGCTGTTGCTGTTATACTTCCCTTGAGAACTCCTCCAAAACAGTGCTTCAGAACCTCCTACCCCAACTTAATTTCGAGTTAGAGAAATGTCCTTTCCCAGCAGCTGTGTTTTGGAATTGATTCCACGAATGGCATGGGTTGGAAATCTCACGGAACTTGGGAAAGACCATGCCAGTGACACTGGAAATGACACTTTTCTTGGGAATGTTTTTCCTCTCTAATTTTCATGATCAGACTTTCTGATTTCTTAGCATATGGGGAGAAGAGTGGGAGGCAGAGAGAGGCTAAAGTCAAGCTTGATTTGTCAGGTGGAAAGTCAAGGTCCTGACCAAGAGCATCTCACAGATTCACATCTCTCTGCAGCATGCTCCTCAGTGCAGCCCCTGAGGAAGGCTCAGTGGCTTCATCCAGAGCCTGTCTGGGTCCAAACCCAGGAAACACGTGAGTCTACACAGCACCACTGGTACCACAAGCACTGGGGCATCAGGGTGCAGGGCTCCAGGGAGGCTGGGTCCCTTAGGCTGCCTGCCCTGAGAGAGGGCAGAATTACACAGCAGCTTCAGCAGCCAGCCTGGTTTCAACACAAGCTGGATGATTGACCTGTGGTGGTGGAGAGGAAAAGCTCTTTGAGGAGATACCTTGTGCTGTTAACAGAAGAATGACCACACTTCATGTCGTTGCAGTTCCCATCTCTGCTGAGGGTGCTGCAGTGGCACTTGCACACAAATGGAGTTGCTGTTTGTGGGATGGAGCTTTCTCTTTCACTAAACAACCTCTGCTTTGTGCTGCATGCCCAGAGAAAGCTCCTCATTAGGCAACTGTGGCATCTTCCTTGTTCATTACTATGGAAATGGCTGTAAGGTTACAATCCACTTGAGTGGATCATCAGGAAGAGCTGTACCTGGGGGATATGAGCCTCTGTGTGTGTACTGACTGCAGCCTTCCCCTCCTGCTGTGGGAGAAGAATTAAAGCAAACAGGAGCTGATGGTAACAGGATTAGGGCCCACCATTTCTTTGGAAATAGTAGTTCAGTACAGCCAGAGGAGAAACAGGAGAGGCAGAGCCTGAGTGGGGAAGATGGACCAGTTCTGGCTTGAGAGGTAGTGGGAATTAAAGGAGGAAAAGCTTCCATGCCAAAACAAAGTGAGTTGATTCTTGTCAAGTGGATTCCCCATGAAAGCGGGGAATCAAACCAAGGAATCCAGTGGCCATCTTCAATGGGAATAGCCTTTTCAGCATGGGGAAGAAGGTTCAGGAGGGAAGGAAGGAAGGTTTTCAGTGGGCACAGAAACGTTGTGTATGGTAGTGTGGTGGTGTGGTGCAGTCACCGGGAAAGGGGAAACTGCTGGTTCTGTAGCAAGGGATTTACAGAAGGTTTCAGCACCAGCTTGCAGGGCAATGCCCATTTGTTACAGGGCTGGTGATACCTGCCCTGAAAGTGTTTGAAAAGCCACTTCTAATTCTGATCTTTTTCCTACATGCTCCTGGAAAATGCATTTGGAGGAGTGTATGGAAAGGTCGATACGAGCCTAACACGACAGATAGCAGCTGATCCCATTTCCAATGGTTTTTGGTTTCATTTGGTGATAATGAAGGTGATCAAAGGGACAGGTGAGGAACAGCTTTTGCATTCTTATAGTCTTTTCTTTACGTTATTGAATGTTCTTTCCCAGTTGGCAGCAGAGTTGTTCTTCAGACACCTCAGTGACAAGATGCAGCACTGCGACCCGATGGGAGGCCTTCATTCCAGGAGGTGCCTCCCTCTGAGCAGGTTCGTGTGCTGAGCTACCCAGTGCTCCACTTCTCTAAAGTGAATTAAATTGAATTAGTGCTAAATAGAAGGTGAAATTTTATATGGTGGGTATTTAATTTACCAGAAGCATTACAAAGATCCCCTTAATTCCTGCAAGATGAAGAATTTACCACAGACCACTATTACAGAGCTGTTAAATTAAAACAACCCCCCTCAGCCCCTGTTCTGGGGACGAAATAGCCCGGTGCTGCCCCCGGTGTGTTATGTGGTGGCTTTGGGAGGCAGGATGTTTCCACCCTCAAATAGGACATTTGGACCAGAGAACATACAGGAGAAGCTTCAGCTCTAGCGACAGCTGATGAGAAACCACAGTGGAATTCCATGGCTATGGAAAGAAATTATTCTCCCCAATTTCAGAGAGGAAATGAAAACCCGGAGCCTTTTTCACCATTGAACAGTCATTTTTCTTTTTTTTTTTAATAAAGTCATTATAAATATGTACAAAGAGTCTCAGCATAAGAAATTCCTTTTACAAAAGAGAGAAGCCCCATCCAACCACAAAGAGGAGCCTTCCTGAACTCGGCTCAGTGGTGAGCTTCGCTTTGCTCTTGCTTTGGTGAGGGTGGAAACGTGCACAGTGACTCTGCCAGAGCTTCATTCCAAACCAGCATGTTCAAGGCATTGTGTGTTCACTGCACTTCACCCCCTGGAGCCTGGCTGCAGGCTGGAGGCTCTGCCAACGTCCTGTGGACCACAGGTGAGGGGAACATTGTTTTCTTGGGATTAAGTGAGGATTTCACATTGATGGGAAATGTGAATACCCATGAAAACTAAATCCCACTGCAGTTGGCCTTGCTCTCTGCTTGGGTGGTATCTGAAGCTAATAACTGTAACTAATAATGGCAATTCAATACCCAGATGCTTTCAGGGAATATTTATCAAGCTCCAAAGTAACTTTCTGTAAATATTAATAAAACCTGTGAAATTCCTCAAGTATTGAGGCAGGATGAACTCTGAAGAACTCTGATGGGAATAACATGAAAATTCACTCTTGGATTCAAATATTATCAGGGAGGGAAAACCCACTTGTTTTGTGTTTTATAACTTTCTCTTGCAGCTGGGGAGTGGGAATCCTGCAGCTTTGCCTGAACAGTCATACTGCCACAGGCAGAGCTGTGGTTTGGAAGGCCCAAATGAGGGAGTGTGCTGGGGTATGTGCTGACCGAGATCCTTGTTGTGCAGATGGAGCGTGATTCAAGCCAGTGGGATTGGCAGAGGGAAGAGGCACCAAAGTGTCTGCGGCTGGGAACAGAGATACACACCTGTACAGAGCAGAGATGGCCTTAGGAGTGAAAGGGCTTCTACCTTCAGACCAGGGCAGAACTAGAAGGCCAAGGTAGGAGCAGCGTACGAGGACTCCTCTCCTCCACCTAGACAAGCTGATAGCCCAGTGTTGTCATAGAATAGTTTGGGATGGGTTTTCCTGGAATCCCAGCCTGGTTTGGGTTGAAAGGACCTTAAAGCTCCAACCCCTGCCACGGGCAGGGACACCTTCCAGTACAGCATGTTGCTCCAAGCCCCTGTGTCCAACCTGTGTCCACCCTGGCTTTAACCCTTGCCAGGGATGGGCCAGCCACAGCTTCTCTGGGCACCCTGTGCCAGCACCTCAGCACCCTCACAGGGAAGAGCTTCTGCCTCAGAGCTCATCTCAGTCTCCCCTCTGGCATTGCCCTTGTCCTGTCCCTCCAGGCCCTTGTCCAAAGCCCCTCTCCAGGTTTCCTGGAGCCCCTTTAGGCACTGGAGCTGCTCTAAGGTCTCCCCTTTTCCTAGGGAAGATCAAGCCTCATGTTCAGACCTCCCTGGGCTGGAGGTTGAGCTGACTTGGCCAGCACCTCCTGACCTCCTGTACTGCAGTGGGGTTCAGCTCAGTGTACAGCACCCAGTGCCTTGCTGAGTGTTACACAGCAACAATTTTGGATTCAAAATCAGATCTGCTGCAGGCAAATCTGCTCTGTGGAAAGGTGTGAAGATACTGGTCACCTGCTGTGGAGGTAGAATATAGCCAGGTTTTGTCATGGACAAAAAGCGTGGGTCCAGGACTGAATTTGGAGCCACAGGTAGTTTGTTACAAATATCTTAGATGTCTGTCAAGATCACAGATGTTTTAAAACCATCTGCAGGAAAATTAACATTGAATGTTAAGGTCGAGGTACTTTTCTGTCCTCACCATTGTGTACATGGCAGTGCAGTCATGCAGAAGGGAAAGATCTCCTTCAGTTGTGCTTCCCCATTTGCCATTCCCCTGTCACCAGTGTGATTCTCCTGTGCCTGCTCAGCCTGCAGGACCAAACAGTATTCCACCAAACAGTTCCATCTTACAAGGCAGCAGGGAAAAATGCCTGATCCCACGGCCTGTGTGCAAATCAGAACTGCCCCGGGTTGACCAAAACAGTTTGTAACCCATCTCCTTCAAAGGAGCTGCATCTGCTTTCTGCAGTGGATTTAAGTCTCTCATCATTTGAGCATGATACAGAAACAAAGCAAATTCCCAAATCAGATTAAACTGATTTCACGGGTGTTTCTGATTTAAGGAAACTGCTTTAGTATGGGGCTTAGCTGAATCAGGGTCACTTCTGCATGCCTCCACGCTCTGAACCAGAGGCACAATGGGCTTCTCACTCCTCCCCACTGACAGCTCGCTGGTTTGGGTGATTTCTCTATGTTTTCCTTGGGTGACGCCTCTCCTGGGCACATGGAAGTGTATGACAGGAGGCTTGGTCCCATTCCATAT